GAACACCTGTCATTGCTGAGGCTCCAGTAGATGGTTTCAACATTGCCTGTGTAAAAAAAGCCCCTGGAAAATTTACACAGAAGCTGGGCAGAGCCCAGTGTGGCAGCTCAGCAAGATCTCTGCAGACAGACTGTAGCAGATTCCCTTCTTTCTGGGCAAGATGTCTCAGAAAAAAAAAAAAAAAAAAAGACAGCAGCCATCAGGATTTACAATTGCCCATCAGTGACAGACTGTAATAAGAAACTGTGACAAATATACACCACGGAATACTATGCAGCCATAAAAAAAAAGATTTCATGTTCTGTGCAGGGACCTGGATAAAACTGAAAATCATCATTCTCAGCAAACTGACACAGGAACAGAAAACCAGGCACCATGTGTTCTCATTCATAATTGAATGTTTAACAATGAGAACACATGGACACAGGGAGGGGAACATCACACACTGGAGTCTTGTGGGGTGAGGGGCTAAGGGAGGAATAGCAGGGGGTAGGAGAGTTGGGAGAATAGCATTAGGAAAAATACTTAATGTAGATGATGGGCCAATGAATGCAGCAAAGCACCACCATGGCACTTGTATACCTATGTAATAAACCTGCACCATCTGCATATGTACCCCAGAACTTAAAGTATAATAAATAATTTTTTTAAAAAACAATCCAGTAAAATATAAATAAAGATGAATATGTGAATGGACAATTCCTCAAAGAATGTATGTGGGTGACATATAAACATGTGACAAATATTTGAAGTCATTAGCTATGGGGGAATATAAAAACCAAAATGAGATACTACTGCTCACTTGAATAGCTAAAATTAAAGGGCCCAACTGCACTAAGTATTGATGAGAAAGTGGAGCAATTGGAACCTTCATACATACTGGTGGAAATGTTAAAATTGTACAACTACTTTGAACAATCTGTCAGTTTCTTAAACATTTATCTTCTGTATGGTCAATGATTACTCTTCTAGGTATTTACCAAAAAGAAATGAAAGCCTGTAGTTATCCAATGATGCAAAAGTGTGTACGTGTGTACTCGCATACATATTTGTATAAATACAATATTCCAGGGTTGGAAACAATCCAAAAGGGCAAATAACAAGTGAGTGAATAAGAAAATTGTTATATTTTTATATATTGAAGTGCCATTTAGCTATTAAAGGAAAAAAACTATTCATGCACTCAACAAGAATGAACACACAGGATTCATTTACATAGGATTCTAGAAAATCCAATCTATTGGCTGGGCTCAGTAGCTCACTCCTGTAATCCCAGAACTTTGGGAGGCCTAGGTGGGTTGATCACCTGAGGTTGGGTGTTCAAGATCACCCTGACCAATGTGGAGAAACCCCGTCTGTATTAAAAATATAAATATTAGGGCAGGGCGCGGTGGTTCACGCCTGTAATCCCAGCACTTTGGGAGGCCGAGGTGGGTGATGACGGGGTCAACAGAGCAAGACAATCCTGGTCAACATGGTGAAACCCCGTCTCTACTAAAAATACAAAAAATTAGCTGGGCATGGTGGCGCGTGCCTGTAATCCCAGCTACTCAGGAGGCTGAGGCAGGAGAATTGCTTGAACCCAGGAGGCGGAGGTTGTGGTGAGCCGAGATCGCGCCATTGCACTCCAGCCTGGGTAACGAGAGAAACTCCGTCTCAAAAAAAAAAAAAAAAAGAAAAGAAAAAGAAAAGCAAATATTAGCTGGGCATGGTGGTGCATGCCTGTAATCCCAGCTACTGGGAAGGCTGAAGCAGGAGAATCGCTTGAACTTGGAAGGCAAAGGTGGCGCTGAGCCCCGATCGCACCATTGCACTCCAGCCTGGGTAACAAGAGCAAAACTCCATCTCAAGAAAAAAAAAAAAAGAAAGAAGAAAGAAAGAAAGAAAGAGAGAGAAAGAAAGAAAGAAAGAAAGAAAGTAAGAAGAGAGAGAGGAAGGAAGGAAGGAAGGGAGGGAGGGAGGGAGGGAGGGAAGGAAGGAAAGAAGGAAGGAAGGAGAGAAAGAAAAGAAAAGAGAATTGAATCTATCGAAAGAAAGCAGATCAGTGTTATACTCCTATACTTTACATTTGGTAGGTTTACTGCAGGTCAATTACACCTCAATGACGCGATTAAAAGAATGGAAACAAAACCATAGTTTCCTAAGATAATATATTTAGCGTTTATGAAATTCCATTTTGTAGTCCTGGAAAATAATTGGACCAAAGTCTTAGGGACAAAAGCCATGTTTTGCTTCCTACATAATTTTGCCCTTGAGAGCTTTGCTTGGTACCTCTGAGATCAGCTGAATTTGTCTACAAATGGAGAGCATCATATTAATTACTTCTACCTCATAATCAAGTCACAGAGAAACCACATACTGTATATTTGATAACAAATTGGATTTCTACTCAGATATCTGCAAATTATTTGCACTGTTTCCTTGGAAAAATTACTTGAATTTTTTTCATATAAGTTTATTCTTCTGTAAAATTGGAGTGATAATAATTGTGCCTGCCTCATACATTGTGATGAAGCCTAAATGAGCCAATAAATATAAACTTCTAAACAGTTTCCACTTCAGAGCAAGAGCTAAATACATGATGGACAGTATTTTATGGAAGAAAGAGTAGACAAAAGGTTTAAGACAGTCTAGATGTCATTAATTTGATGCTACAGTTTTACTAAAGAACATATATGTTGCTGCTTATGTAGGACTTACTGAGAAGATGAAAACATTTGTTCAGAAAGGAATGCTGAAGAACTGACAAAGCTTCATGGGACCCCTGATCTGAATAAACGAACATATACCCTTGGTGACATAGAAGGGGAATCATTTCTCTTGTGAGGTACCCAACATTTATTGAATTCCTAATACACACATATGCTAGATGGATGAAGAAAAGACACACGTATTATTATAAATATTTGGTCTCATTCAGACTCAAAAATATTCAATTGTCCAGCAATAACATAGTTCATTATCTAAGTTGATATAATGTTATTGTTTACAATTTTCTGATAATGTGTGTTTGCATTGAAAAAAGTTACAATCTATTACTTTTAAAATGAATGTAGGATTTCAAGCATAAACATTTGGTGCAACAAATGCTAAGGAGAAATAAAGGAACAACCAACATTGATGACTTTTTTTAAACATGACAAAGACTGTCAGTAACAGACACTTATTGAGCATTTGTAGCTAGTGGTATGAACAACCCCTTATCCTTTAAAGAAAAATAGATGAATGCTTATTTCCATCTCAGTACTGCAGAAAACTTAAAAATAATTTATACTTTTATCTAATAGGCCTGCATACAAGAGACACCAACACCAAGCAGTCAGATACCATTTCAATGAAACACAAATCTACATTGCTTTGGATATGAACATGTTAGTACATATACATTGATCATTGGAAAACTAGATCACTTCATCATTTTGTTTCAAGAGTTTTACTTTAAGCAATATGAAGATTTTAAATTAAACATTTTATATATACTGATAAAAATTCTGCCAGAGTAAAATAATCTCCAATATTAACAAGAAGTCATGTTTCAAAAATGATGTTAAACAATATATAAAATGCATAATTTAGCACTAACAATTTATTTTTTAAAAACAGATGAACAGGGAATCAATGTAATAAACCTAAAGTTAACTCAAATTTTCAAGCTAATATCAGCTTTGGATATTAACTACAGATTGGATTTTATGGACTGTTTCTTAATTACAAAGGTTAACATGTTTAATAATATATTAATCTGACCAACAAATTAAATCATCATTAAAATATATTTAGTGCAACAAATTGCTTTGTGAATTAACATATTTGGATAGTCCTAAAATGAAAATTAATTATATATTTAGTATTGTGATTATTAATTTGCTATGTGTAAAGGACATGAAATTAATTTAACCACTTATTTTCCCTAACATTAAATTTTAAGCAAAGTAGAATTTTAGGTAATTTATTAGCCATATGTTTAATAGGTTAATGTATTGTCCATCTCTTCAGCTGTCAATATTTTCCTCCACACATCCACCTATAATTATCCACCCAATGCATAAATGTCTATACGTGCCAACTACATTTAAATTCCCCTTTGAACAATATGTGAATTTTTTTATGTTTCTAGCAAATTTAAAGCCTATAAAATGGTAAAAAGTTATTCGAAATTTTGAAAGATATTATACTATACAAATTAATACTTTTATCTTTCTTATTGACTTAAATGTCATCCATTTAGCAATACTCTGTGTTTTGGGAATATAACCGACATAATATTATTCAAAATGTTAATATGTATTAGGCCTTAGTGGATACAGAGAGGGGGCTATCACACACTGGGACCTGTTGAGGGGTGGGAAACTGGGTCAGGGATAGCACTGTGAGAAATACCTAATGTAGATGACAAGTTAATGGGTGCAGGAAACCACAATGGCACATGTATACCTAAGCAACGAACCTGCACCTTCTGCACATGTATCCCAGAACTTAAAGTATATACATATATATGTACATACATACACACACACATATATATGTGAACAATATTCAAAAGAAAATATTTCATTATTTCTAGGATAACATACTTTTTTCTAATTTATTAATTTCATTATTTTTTTTGAACTTTTATTTAACCAAGAGGGACAATGAGACAAGAACTACACCGACGATAAAGGAATTAAAATCATCAACTCTGCAGTTAAACTTCCTGGTTCTAAACCCAGCTTTGCTAATAAACATTGGGCAAATAATTTAAGTACTCGGTGCCTCAGTTTTATTATCTCCAGAAAAATATTATAATACTCTCTACCTTGTACCCAGCGCATATCAAAGACAGCCAAGCTAAGAATTTGTGGTCTGGAAGAGTTCAATAGTATTACTATGCTTGATTATACATTGTGCAACCTTTTCTCCCACACGGTTTGTAAAGAGTGAGATTATTATATTTCTTTCTTTTTCTTTATGATAGGTTATTATATTTCTAAAAACATAAATATTTTCAAAGCACTTACTTTATTAAATTGTTCCTGACATCTGGGTCATACGCTGTAACCTGTCCAATGATGCTGCCCTCCTTTACATCTTCATCTACTTCTATCAAATAAGAGACTTTACTGAACACAGGAGGCTCATCTATATCTTCCACAGATATTTTGACCACAGCCGTGTCTTTGAAAGGTCCCAGGTATAAGAATCGTGGATCAGGGTGAGTGTTGCTGGCGTCCACTCTTAAAGTGTAGAGCATTTTATTTTCAAAATCTAAATTCTGAAGTTAAACGAAAGAAATTAGCATAATTCAGAAGATATGACAATGGAAGAGGATTTCAAATTTTAATAGCCAGAAATCCTGATTATATCAACAATTTTGTTTAAATAACTTTCTCAATTATTGCTTCATAGGTACATAAAATAAATTTGTAAGTATTTGTTTCACCATGTACTTATTTATAGAGGGTTAATTTACTATAATTACTCAACACGTTGAGATTGAGTCTCACTTAGTAGTATACTTCAAGTTTTTGGTGACAGGTAAAGAAAGTACTATCTAATGCATTTATACATTGTGTATTGTCATTACTAAAGTTATACTGTTATAGCCAGAGGAAAAATATAATAAAATAGAAATATAGAATAAAAGTTATTTCTATTTTATTAACAAATTTAAGCACTTGTGGAAAGTAAGATATAAATAAAAAGTGAAATAAGAACAATATAAAATGATCAATATTGAGCTATATTATTACATGTAAAGATTCAGAATGTTCTCCCACACTGCATTGAAAATTGAGGCAACCAACAGAAAACACAAGGTATCTTCAGGTTTCATTTATTTAAATAAATCATCACAGGTACAATGGAAGTATTTTGAAAAGCGCGTGAAATAATGATAGCTGCATGTCTATTTTTTCCTCTATGGAGAAATATAAAACAAGTACCTTTAAGTTTATCTAATTTTAATTTGACTGTTGTCTAGTGTAAGCATGAGCCGCTGAGGTTTATAAGTGCCAATGATGAAGACATTTAACTTGTTTGAAGTGAGATCACCACTATTCCCACTTATCTTTAGGATAGACAGCATGTAAAAGATGGGAGAAAATAAACCCCAGGCTTTTCTTCCCTTTACTGAAAAGCAAAAATAAATCATAAAGCACTCAATGAAAAAATAAAGACAGCGAAAAGAAACCTGTTTGACAGTTATAATCCCTTCCTGTGTGTCCTTGTCAGTGATGACATCGAACATGTCTGCACCATCTCCTTCAGCAATGCTATATTCCATCTCTGCATTTTGCCCCACATCAGGGTCATTGGCTTTTATCCTTCCAAGATGAGTTCCAAGAGGTACAGACTCAGGAGAATTAAATTGATACGTACCTATAAGTTAAGTAAGAGCTGTTTTGACATTTCATCTTTAGATAACATTATTTCATTACCTCTGCATTTTTCACTTAAACACATTAATTTTAAATAGGGAGAGTTTTTATACTATTGAATGGCAAGCTGTCAAAAATTGTATATTTATCAAGTTGGAAAAATAATTTATAACAGCAGAATACTCTCATTTTGTAAAGGAGAAGTGTAAGTCCCCAAAACGGAGAAGATTATTTAGACTATTGATGGTAGGCATCGTATATGAATCTAGAACTTTTGACTTAAAAGAACATGAAAAACAATTATTTACTGTTCATCTGGGGCTTTCAAAATGGTCATCACACATTTTTTACATGTACTCAATTATTTTTTAAAAATGCATTTATGATTTTATTCTGAATCAGGAATGAAAAATAATGCCATACAGACCAATGCATCTTTTCTTTGCCTGTTTGTTTTTAATTTTAATATCTTTTAGTGGGACATGGATTTTTCTATTTTTTTGTCTGTTCAGCCAAGCATTATATTGTATTCTGCTGTCCCTGAAAGCATTTTAGTTTGTGGCTACCTATTTAGGAGACAACAGGAAAAAGAAAATTTTAATGTCAATGAAGGTCAGAAATATTTTTGAACATTTACACTGTGCTGCAGTCTATACAAGGTCAAAGGGCTCATATGCTAATTTACTTAATCCTCACACTAGTCCGAAAAGGATCAATTTACCTACATCATCTTCAGGGGCAGGCCTTAAGGAACTTACCCTGAAGATTTGGGAAAGGAAAAATGCAAAACTAATTCTTTCTGACTTCAAAGTCTATATTATTTTCAGTTTATTTGGTGGTTGAGAATATGAGTATATAAAACCAGCTGCCTTGGTTTGAATTCTTACCACCTTGCCAGTTAGTTAAATTCTCCAAACTTTGATGTCCACATCTAAGAAATAAGAATGATAATGATAATAATTCATCATAGGTCTATTTTTTGGAATGCATAAATTTAGCTCTGGGTCTAGTCCTTAGTATTTTACTATTACTGTAACTGTTCCAAAACTTTTGTTGACATTATTATAGTTAACATAATTATAGAATGTCAAGATATTAAGAATTCATCAAGCAATACGCTTTATAAAGAATGATGAATGCGGAATTTAGGTTTATGTTATTTAGGCTTATTATTTGTGTTCTTGGCAAACTTTAACTGTATCATATGACTATGTCCATCAATCAAATTTCGATAAAACATTTTAAATCAAATTGACCTGAAAAAAAATGTTTTACTGTATTGAGATTAGTGATAAGAATTTAAATTTAACCTTTTACTGAATATTTTGAGATAGGGCTCTTCATATATTTATTCACTGCAGCATAACAAATTTCAGCAGAGAATGGAAATCTTCCTCTGCAAGACATCAGTGAATGCAAAGCATCCATGGTTTAACGTCCACCCTAAGATGATGACAACTCAAAGGGTGTTAACTGATGTAATTTTCGTAACTTGGTAACAGAGATACTACCAAACTTGAATATGTCTAAAATACCCTCACACCGTAATTCTATGGGACACTAAGAAAATATAAACATGATGCTAAATAAGCTGATCTGCACTGATGTTTTTAAAATATCAAGAAGTCATTGTGTCTTATGATAATGCCCACCAGAAGCATTCAGAATCCAGGTGAACAGGTTAACTTCTCCTAGGGATGTCAGCCAGACTCTCCACTTGGCCATCTCAGTGCTTAAACAATGGTCTCAGCCAGATGAGGTTGCTCACACCTGTAATCCCAGCACTTTTGGAGGCTGAGGCCGGTGGATCACGAGGTCAAGAGAGTGAAACCAACCTGGCCAACATGGTGAAACCCGACTCTACTAAAAATACAAAAATTAGCCGGGCGTGGTAGTGCCTACCTATAGTCCCAGCTACTCAGGAGGCTGGGGTAAGAGAATCGCTTGAAACCCAGAATCCATTAGAATTGATTTCAGAATCAATTAGAGAAGACATTGTAAGTTTTACATGCAAACAAAATAGCTGAAGTAGGACAAGTGAAAGGAAAGACACAGTATTTGAATCTAGATAGCCAAAAAAGAGAGCCCATAATCCTAACCAAGAAGCAGATCCAGAGGAACATTTTAAGATGGTCATAGTGAATGTTGAGAAAGGATGTCTGGAAAACTCTGTAACACTTCAAAAGTAGAAAAGTTAATTAAAAAGTTGCCATATAAGAGTAATACTTTGTTTTCTCCCTTTGCATACTCCAAAAAATGATGAAAATAATCACCATCGCTATTTGCGGGAAATTGTGAGTTTTTTTTTTTTTTTTTTAAGAGGAATGGATTGTAGTTTTGCCATTACGCATAAACTAATAGCAAAACTACAGGTATGAAGTGTGAATGTTAAACTTCATTAGTAGTGTGTTCGAGAAGTTTTTGGTCATGAGATCACTGAAACATTCCTTACTCTGTGGAAATCGAGGAGGATTGTTGTTGACATCTGTCAGTGTGATGTTGACAGTGGTGGTTCCAGAAAGGCCTCCCATCTGGCCGCCCATGTCTTTGGCCTGTATAACAACCTGGTACTGCTCTCTATTTTCTCTGCTCATGTCTGGTAATGCAGTTTTTATTATACCTTTTGAAAAAAGTTGACACAAATTTTGCAATTAAATCACTGAATTTTAAAATTAAGGTAGACAAAACTCATTTTACAGAAGTTGATTATAACAAACATAAATGTCAGTTTATTTAAATATGCCTTTCAATCCATAACCACCTTAACATAATTCACAGAACAAGAAGAGTTTTGCTATAGGCTATTGTTCATGAAATGGGTTTTGCTAAATCAATGTATTTTATTCTGTTGAATACAAAAATTAACTTCAGTCAAAAATCTTTAAACAAATTAAACAAATAGTTGCTTAATTTTGATAACTGTCACATTCAAGTTTTGAGTATTCTCTATACCATATAATGTGCTGAATCTCTGTGAAATTTTGTATTTAAGTGTTTCAAATTTAAACCCAATGAATAAAAGTTTAAAGAGCTAAGAGTTCTAATAAGTTATTGAAATAATAGAATGTTTACATTTGTTTACATTTAATAACAACGGGAAACAAAAAGAAACATGAAACTGAATGAATAATGGTTTAAAAATATTTTTTAAATCTCTAAATTAATATGCATCTTAATGTATTATACAATAAGAGATAGGCCAAGATTAAATGTTGTACCTGATTCTGGGTCCACTGAAAAATATGGCTGTCCTTGCAATATGCTATAGACCACTTTGGCACTATTTCCATAGTTGGCATCATCTGCATCAGTTGCTGTCACTTGTATAACAGATGTACCTACATGAAACCCCCATGCCCAAACAGAAATATTTACATACTTCCAAATTTGAAACAATTTTTCTTAAAAATATGTTGCTGTCAGTGTTTTGTATTAGGCAATGTTTTATGTTTGAAGAAATTTAAATACTTCCTCAAAAAAGTTACTTTTCTTTCTCATTTCTACATACTTAAGTGTTTCTTAATTATTTTATCTAAGAAAAAGTATCAAAATGTATTTTATCAGTAAGATGAATATAATGAGTCTAATTAATGTATTGTATTTTTAATTGATTGGAAATGTTTTAGGGGCAAACATTCTTAAAATGAATATAAAGCACATGAAATTTATAAGTAGTACATTTACTGGTAACTGAAAACATGTATTTAAAAAACAAATCTAACATGTTTTTATCCTGCTTGTGTTTTCACTCTGGTATATTTGACTGTGAATAGTTAATAAAATAAAGAGACAGTTTCTATGAAGAAACAAACCAAAATGCTTTAAAATTTACCTGCAAGATATTTTTTGTTCCCAAAATACGTCTAATTATTAATGGCCTATGCCTTTCTTTTAAATATGGATAATATGGTTAGTTATAATTACCCCTATTGATATGCTGCATAATATGGGTTATTTCCTGCACATTTGTAAATCAGTATTATCCAAAAGAAGATGTAAACTGTATAATTCTGGTGCCACATGCAATATTATAATTTAACCTTGCTATCTAATTTTATATCATAAAACTTAAATTACTTTAAACTTTGTTTCAAATATTTCAAAATATAAAAGTGTTTTAACAGTGGAAATAAACATAATAAAATATATTGATGATGTTTTAAATTATTTTTTTCTGTATTTCTATAAAGATTCAAAGCATGGTTCTAACATCACCCTTAACTGAAGCCTAGGAGCATGCCCTTGGACAAACCTAGATTGTAGAACATTTTCAGTATAGTTTACATAATTTCTAAAAGTTTGGGTCTGGTTCTTACATATATTTTAAAGTTTTTGAAAACAAGGAGAATTCCATGTTGACCCCACTACCCATTTTAATAACCCCACATACATTAGACACTCAATAACTTGTCTAACTGAATTATGGTGGAGGTTTCTCCAATGTTGTGTGTATATGTGTATGGCAATTCCAAAAACTGACATACGATAATTAAGATAAATACTAACAGCTTATTTCCTGTCGATATATTTGAATGTTAACACATGAATTGAGCAAAGCTTTTTAATGTTTTCTCAAAATTAATTAGCATAACGATGAGAACTTTAGTTCATTCTCTTGAGTCCCTTGTTTTCTCAACTGTAATGGAATTGATGTGTCCTGTGAGTGGATGTAAGCCCTACATATTTACTTAATTCATCCCAGCTGTAAGCTTTTATCATTAAAAAATTATCCACTCATGTGTTCACTAGATGAAAGAAAAATGATAAAGTGATTTTCATCCCCCCTACACAAATCACTTTATGATGTGCAGAAGTTCAACGAAGTGTTTTTTTTTAATTTACATGTAATGTCTTTTACATAACTCTATGTGATATATGTTAGAATAAGTGTGTTTTTCACAATTGGGGGTTATTGAAATATGAATTATTAAGCATTTCCAACATGCTAAAAACACAAATAGTTCATAATTTTAGAACTTTCTTGAGTTACCCATTTTATTTTTCTTTTAACATCAGCATATTGTAAACTTTCATCATGGATACAGGTAAAAACAGTCTTATATAGCTATTTGACTCTTTCGAATATTTTTGTTGTGAAATTTTAGTTTCAGTGATCAGCTCTATCATTGCGTAGATGTTCTTTGAAGTTAAGCAAAGATACTTCACGAAGAGGTGAATATAAACAGTAGGAATAAACTCTATGATGTGACTAAAAAGCTAAAAGCGCACATATAAAATGCTTGTTCCACCTCTCAGAACTCTGGAAATACTAAGGATTGCTTTTAAACACTGGCAATCACTGATAAAATATCATTGATATGTTATTTTTTAGCAAGCTGAGAGACAGTATGGTGGATTATAGGAAATAAATACTTGAAGTTTTATTAAGAAATATAATGATTTATTATACAGTTAAAAGTAGTAATAAAATTAGATAGAATATGGTTTATATGTCTTATACTAATTTTATAAACGTTTGTTTATAAAGACAAAATAAAAGAGTATACACTTGGATATTTACATCCCTCTAAATTTTCCAAAATACATATACTTTTTATCTGTCCATTAGTTATTTAAAGTAAAATTTTATTTTCATATTAAACAAATATAAAAATATACTAAGTAAAACACAGTGAAACTTGAATGACAAATTCATGTATTTCATCTCATATCAAAGAGATGAACTTTATTTTGAGATTATTATTTTTGCAATTCATGTTTATAAGAGTTTTGCATATAGTATGTCTTAATTTAAATAGAAAATATGTTAAAGAATCAAATAAGTTCACTGTAATTCTTAAGTCATTATTTACTTAAATATATAACTAATAATATTTAGGAAAAATTTCAAAGACACAAAGCATAATTCTATATTAGTAAAACATGAAGAAATGTTAAAAGCTGATAAATAACTTGATGGCTACAGATTTTGGGGAACCAAAAGCACTCCTCTGGATATGGAAGAAATATTCATCAATATAATTATTATTATAATTTAAAGATAAGAAAAGGATAGATTACACAATGTAATCAAGCTATGCCAGTTGGTCTTACATATATATATTTACACATCATATTAGAGGAAGTTATATCAATTCAGGTTGTTACACTATACAAAATAAACTTTATATACAAAAGATATGCCTCTATATATTTGTGCCTTAAATGTAAATATCAAAATGTTTTGAATTTGCTGTTCAAAGTATTTAAAGTATCAAATGTAAATGACCCCAAAACATAGGCCTTCTATCATTGATTAATTATATTTATATAGAAAGTTACAATGAAATATTTGTATACAAAGATTACTTAGGCAGTATAAATGTTACTAATTTAAAGCTGTTTTACTAAACACAGATAATATTGAGAAGGGGAAATACAGTCTTTACTCTTCTTTAATAAACAGCAACCCTGTGGCATGTTAATGTCAGAAAATATACTTCACAGCCTATTATGTTTTAAAACATTTAAAAGCTTTCTCTCTCATACATACTTTATCTATATCTATGTATATCTATCTATCATCTATCTTTATGTCTGGAGTTTTTGATATAACGATAAAACCAATTGAAATGTAAAGAAACAGAATCACTGTATGAACTAGGGGAAACAAAGAAAAACGGTGAATAGTATGCTCTTTATTCTACCCTATAGCCTAAGGCCTGACTTTTGAGCACTGTAGAAAAGAAATTGGAATATTTTCAATGTGAGAATAAGGTAATGAAAGTTAGAGAAAATGAAAATGAAAAAGGAGGTTATTCTTTTTCATTCACACCTCTATTCACACCTCTCTGTGAATCGGGTTGACAGTCAGCTACTTGCTTCTGCCATAGTGTAATGACAGCCATTAATTTGAGGAGCAGGGGAAAACAGTACCCTCAACATAAATGTTTGTGCTATGGGAGGCACTAATAAGAGAAGTAGGGGTGATGTTTTCAGATATTGCAGTGGAATTCTAAGGGGCTATTAATTAGATGTCCAGAAATTGAAATCATGCTTTGTTAAATAAAAGTTCATTTTTCTGTTAAATGAAAACTCTGTAAGGGCAAATTCATATCTGGTTTATTCAACATTTTATACTTAAAACCAAGTAGAGCATCTAGTGCAAAATCACAAGAACTAACATTCACAGAATGCTTAATATGTACTAGACGTAGTTCAAAGTACCTGATTGGTTTTTATTACTTTATCTTCAGGGCATATGTGGGATATGGGCCTTGGGGCACATAAAAATTGCTAATGATCACAAACCCAGTGGGTGATAGAGCTGGACTAGATCTAATTCCATTCTAAATACATTTGGTAAAAAAAAAATGTTTCTTACAGATATTTTACCAAACGGCCTAACTCTCTGGTGTTACAGATACAATTGGATACAATATTGAATTCACACATAGTAAACCTCTGGGACATGAGGAATTCACTGACTGAGTTATTTTTATGTTCTGTAAAAAACTACAAAGGGATTCCTGGTTGAGGATCAAAGTGCTAGGAGGAGGACTGGATATGTTTTTGAGAGTGAAGGTAGGGGAAATTTCCAGTCATTGAGAAAGGATGCATCCCAAATCGCCAAATTTACACAACAGGAATTTGCCTAGGAGAAGAAGAAAGCATGCACATGAGGACAGTTTGTAGAAAATCTTTAATCAATAGTATAATGATCACAAGAAATTAAAAATATAAAAAGTAGAAATGGAAATGGAAAATATAAAACGTTATAAACAAAGTATATTCCATTATATTTAATTATGTATCTTTATATAGCTTCCAGGTTATACGTTCTGATTAGAATGTGCTAATGTATTTCAGATTTCATGAGTTTACTGGAGGCAATTTAATTTAACTGAAAATGGGGTAGGGCATTTGGCACTAAAACATTAATATGAAATATGGCATATGATTGTGACAGACAGCAACTGAGGCAGAGGGAAACAACAAGGAAAAAAATTGGTAAGAGAAAAGGAAGAAACAAATACTTTAGGAAATAAAAGTGAATGGAAATAAGGGGCAGATAAATGGAGATTATCAGAAGATAACATTGTAAAGAAGCGTAGGACAATAATAAAGGAATCTTGTCTTATTCCATAAGACTCTACTTCTTCACAAAGCTAATACTTTTTGCTTTCAATTCTGATTTAAACGAAATCCCTTGTATTATCTGAAAATAATTATAGAATTAAATTATTGTGTATTATTTTATTTATAGATGTATTCTCTTTGATTATGTATCAGATTTAACTGTTAATATATGGATTACACAAGGCATGACAGAGTTCCTAAATATTACTTGTTAGTTTTCCTAAGTAAATTGGTTTATTTGCATACATAGGTATAAAGAAAATCACACCTGCAATGATTATAAGTTAGTTTTTTATTTTCCTTAAATAAAATAGGAGAGTTACAATAAAAGATCAACGCAAGTTTATGAAGTAAAATACATCTACTTTTTATTTAGATATTATTTACATGGCTTTATATATATATAATATATATGGTTATATATAGTGATATATATGGTTTTATATAGATATGTATGTATTAAAATTCAGGGGCTTTATCCCCTATATTCTTATTTAGATTTAATTTGAACGATAAGGGCATTTGATATAAAGTAATAAATGAGAAAGTTACTACTTTAGAGGAGTTACTCTCAATTTAATAAATTAAAAGTTTCCAGATTACATTTTGAATAATAAGCATAACTATTTAACAGAGAAAAACAGGCATTAAAACTGTCCAGCTATCTCTTCGATATGGTTTGGCTGTGTTCCCACCCAAACCTCATCTTGAATTATAACTCCCACAATTATTATGTCAATTATGGGGGCGGGTTTTTCCTGCATAGTTCTCCTGATAGTGACTGAGTCTCATGAGATCTGATGGTTTAAAAGACAGGAGTTTCCCTGCACAAGTTCTCTTTCTTTGCCTTCTACCATCCATGTAAGACAAGACTTGCCCCACCTTGCCTTCTGTCATGATGTGAGGCCTCTCTACCCATGTAGAACTATAAGTCCAGTAATCTCTTTTTCTTCCCAATCTCAGATATGACTTTATCAGCAATGTGAAAATGGACTGATACACTCTGCATCTACTAACTTTCCTTTTTCTTTTTAAAAATAGTCTTGTAGTAAGCTGATTCTGTGTGGTTTTGGTCAAGTCAGTTTAATTCTTTTGGGCTCATTTTTATTGATTTATTAAAATAGGCAACTACATCAAGTATAGTATCTTCTGCACATACATATTGTACATACTAAAATCTATTTTACATTTATATTTGAGTAATGGAAGCACATACAAAATTATAGGTGAACCAAGGTGGAAGCAAGTAATGTAATGTTAATATTAGTAATGAAGAAAAACAAATGTTCTCTACAAACAGGATTAAAATTTATCTGTATTCTTAAATACTTAGTTTTTAATGCCAAAATCTGCAGCCAGAGTCATACAGCTGCCTGCTGCTATATACTTGTCTCATTTCGTGGTAATTCTAGCCATGTAGTGAATGCAGCTGACAATGGCTCAAATCCTTGTTTTTGCAACCTACACGAATCTGAAATTGTATTGCTTACACTTTAAAGAGTATGCAAATAAAATATAGATTGCCTAACAGAAAGAGATTTTGTACAGAAGGAGATTTTGTACAATATAAACTACAAACCATCTTTCATGCATTAACTTATGTATTGTATATTTTATTATGAATGATGAAACCAGGATTTTAAAATGTGTGCGTGTGTTTATTTCAGTCCTGATATTGTTACATACTCAACCAATATTAATAGAACCTAGTTATATTAATATTTAATATGAGGAAAAACATATTTGAATTCTGTATACAGCTGATAAATGGTAATACACAAAGTGAAATATAATAGTCCACTGAAAATAATGTAGGAGAACATACAGGTTATGTGTGATTAGATATCAATAGTTTCTGATAGGGAATTTTTTTTTCCACAAAAGTGGGGTACTTCTTTGAAACACTTTTGTGCATTCACATCTAAAGCAATTATTATTAAAGTTTCTCATATGTAGATATTTTCATTATCTTAATTACACTTTTCACTTTTCTAGATATGTCAAATCTTTCTGAGGAAGGACAAGTGAAGGTTTTTGTACTGTAAGTTTTCAAAATATCTCAGCAAACAATATGTACACAAGAGGAATAATATCTTATAAAGGGTACTAACTTAAAAACAGAATTACTTTAATCATCAATAGGAAGTTGATAAATATAATTTTATATGTACCTTTTTCTCACATATAAACCCATTAAAAAACCATGACGGGTGTCTAAAGTAGCCCACTGGTAAACCTATACAAAGCCATCCAATACTTTCCATGCAACTGAGGTACTAAAAAATATAACAGGAAACACCCACTCATGTTTTATTTTAGGGTATTGTGATTTCACAGGAGTCCTGTCTAATTTGATAAATCCCTTTGGTATTATTAGAGTAAATATCTGAAAGGGCTATTGCAGTTCTGTTTAACTGCATTTTCCTCAGATGGACGAGATTTCATTTGAGGTGAGAATAAATACATTTTTAAAAACCTCTTGCTTCTTTCTACTAAAAGCCCACATAGTTAACATTCTACATTAAACATTCAGCAAATGTGGATAAGTTTGTTTCTCCTCATATAGAAATTATTTTAGACTGAAGCACATATTAGTTACAAAAATGTCAAAATCATACACTTAAAACTGGTTTGAAATAGTGTTCAACTAAATTGTATCAAATTTGGGAAATTGGTTGCAGATTTTATAAATTCAATTATATCACTTATTTTAGAAATATTTTATGATTTGAATCAGTTCTCATCCTTCATTAACCAATCTAGACCTTTCATATTAATAGAGTTAAATGTAGTCATACACAGATAAAACTTTTTACAAGTGGTATCTAAAATGGTGGGCAGCAAGAAGTGAAACCAATTTTTTCAATTTGCATAAGCCAATGGTCAGTAGTGAAATGTGCACAAAAGTAACATAAAAAGACTTGCAATCTTGTCATGATACTACCAGTTTATTTGATCTTAATTCACTTGCTTAGCCTTTCTGAATCTTCAGTTCCTAATTAACAGAACAGGGATTTAAAATTCTATTTCTCATGCCTACCACATAAGTTGGCTTTAATGATCAAATGAGAAAACACTTCAATAGAAATTTGCCAAATGCAAGCATTAATTGTTACTCAAAATAATGCAAGCAAAATTGTCCAAAACTGCTGATACTATCTATTATTTTTTTTTATTTCTGGCAAAAAATACATTCCACTTGACTTCTGTTTGAATGCCAGTTAAGTAGAGTTGAGGGTATTGATTGAAATAAAATGAATTGACTGCTATCAGTAATCATATTTTATATAAATTACAGCAAAACAGGAGAACCAAAATACATAGAATTTAAAATAGAATAGTTTGTTTAAAGTAAATAGTAGTTTCCAGTTACAATTATTATCTTGAAAGAGGTAACCACAGGTAAATAAAAGTTACTTGAGCAAACAAACAAATAAAAAGTTTACATGGATTAGAAATATACCTACCAACTCCAGACATTTCAGGAACACTGGCAGTGTATAAGTCTTTTGTAAATTTTGGCTCATTGTCATTGATATCATGAATTTTAATGATAAATTCCGATTCCGGTTCCACCTGCCGTCCAGTTTTTCTGTCTATTGCCTTGGCACGAAGAATGTACAGAGATTTTTCTTCTCTGTCTAGTTTCTTTGCAGCATGAATGTCTCCTGTATTTTCATCTATAACAAATAGACTGCCAGCCCCATCTCCTGTTAGTATGTATTTTAAATTTCCATCGCCTTTATCTTGGTCAGTGTGAAGCTTTAGAGAGGTAGAAAAAAAGAGTTCTGTAAATATATACATTATTATTACATGAAACATAATTTTGGCACCATAAATATGTGTCCATATAACAGCTATTCAATGATTATCTTAATGATTATCTTGACTTTCAATGTGAGAGGGAGTTAAATATTTCTGTTCTTACTATACTCAAAATTTTTAACAGTCATATTTAGACATCATAAGAGACTAGATTTAAAATGTGAAAATTTGTATGTATCTGTCAAAACAAAGATATTTATCAGTAAAATGTTACCAAGATTTTGACCCCAGTGCATTAAAAAAAACATTAACCTACATTTTGAGTGTAAAATATTAATTAATGTTGATTACGTTTAAAATGACTAAGCTCTAAGATATGAGGGATTTCTGAATTTATTATAATGACAAGTTTAGAGTAGATGCCTTAATTTTTAACTGATTTTATTCCCCTTCAGGATAGATTATCCCCTTCTCTGTGGGGGATACATTTCCTAAGTGGATCCCTGAAACTGTGGATAGTACTGAACCCTGTATATTGTATGTTTTTTCCTATATATACCTTCCTATGATAAAGTTTAATTTCTAAGTTAGGCACAATAAGAGATGTGCAACTGTAACTAATAATAAAATGGAACAATTATAACCATATACTCTAATGAAAGTTATGTGAATGGTCTCTCTTTCTCCCTCTCTCAAGAGATCTTATTGTTATTTACCATGGGTAATTGAAACCTCAAAAAGTAAAACCATGATTAAGGGTGAATTATGGAATTAGGATAATATTATTTGTAGAAACACAATCTCTGTTTAAAAGAGACTAATCAGAGAGAGAAAGAGATTTTTAATTGCTTATTTTCTATATGACTCTAGGAGAACACTTTTTCAACCACGATGTTTTCATTTTTATATGATGTTGTATTTTTTAGATCTTTTAGGATTCAAGTAATATAAAACTCATGGCTTGTCCTCTGGCCATATGAACTATGTCTAAGAAAAAAATAGGATTTTTTCATAAATTATTTTATTTCTATTAATATATGCCCATCTATAAAAATAACTTTTTAATGTAGAAGGCTGATCATGGGATATTTAAAACAAACAGACCATGTAATCCTAGAAATTATGAATTGAAAAAAAACCTTAAAGTTTTAGCAATCCTAACATGATTCTAAAATTATAATTTTTAAAAATTAACTGAAAACAATAATTATTTATATCATAAATTATGGGTATAGTATGATAATTTTATATATGCTTACATTATAAAATTATTAAATAAAACTAACAAATCCATCACCTCACAGACTTGTAATTTTGTTTCTGTGGTGAGAACATTTACAAAAAGGTGGATGGAGATGAGAGATACTGATCAAGAAATGCAAAATTTTCTTATTCAGGAGTAATAAGCTTCAGTGGTCTTTTGCTCTGCTAAGTGAGTATAATAAATGATAATAATTATATATTCAAAATTACCAGAAGAGTACATTTTAAATAAAACTGGAGTTTTGACTAGCTTATCCCTCCTACCTTGACTTACATCATATGCTTAACAAATCCTATTACATCCTACCCTCACCTATTTCTTCAGGATTCCATTTTCTTTGAATTATTTGACTATTAAAATTCTGTTTTTTAATCATAGCCCAAATATAAATGTTTCATATTTTACATCTTCTTTGCAAGTTGAGCATGAAAATAATTATCATGTAGGTAGACTTTCCACCTGTGAAGTATCTTCTCAAGACATTTTTCTTCATTTCTGTGGCTACTTCGTATATTCTCCATCATCTTATCTTCTCTGGACCACCAGAGCAATCTTCTAGTCATGCTGCCTCCACTCTTGCTCTACTTCAAGCAATTTTTTCATACCAAACAGGGTGATTTTTCCACATCAAAAATCTAGTCATTTACTATCTAGGTTAAAAATCTTCAAGTCACAGCATTTAAGAACTAAACACCTGAAGTCATAAAAAACATGGTTAGTGTCATGCATATTTCTGTGTTATATTGGGCATGTTGTTTGTTTGATTTTTGCTTTTGGAGTTTTTATTTTTTTTATTTGTTTGTTTTTAAATCTGTTTATTTTATTAAAACAGTATATTTTTTAATCTTTAATTTTATTGTTATCGTAATAGCTTGAATTCCATAACTTTATTTATACATCCTGGATAATCCGGCCCTGAATTTCAGAGGTAGATCTGCCTCTTTTCCCTCTTGCTACATAGACATTCTATACATAACAATTATTTTGTGTTGTCTTTACGTCTCAGAAAGCCTGTTCTAGCTGTCAATCCCGATATTTGCATCTCACCTTTTTACATCTTTCCCTTTTTTTAGTATTTTCCTTTAACTAAATTTGTCATATGTTATTTTAAAATTTCCTCCTTAGGGATGCCTTTGCTGACTCACTAGATTAGGATGGATGGGCCTGTTCTGGACTTACATAGCACACTTCATTCCCTAAAATGATGCTCATCACATTTGATGTAATTGTTTACCATGCCCACTCAGCTGTAAAATACATCAGAGAAAGACTGATAGCTTTCTATTCAATCACTCGACATATATTTCTTGAAGTTCACTAATGTTTCCTTTTTTAACACTAACTAATCACATAAATACAATTAGAAAAATCAGATACATAAAATAAAACTTGCCTTTTTAATTTAGGTTACATCTTATCATTCTATGTGTTAGTGATGTTTTAAAGGACTATCTTTTTGAAATGCCCTTTTCAAACCTTTTATAGTTAATATTTTTGTACTTTTATCTTTGCATTACTAGTCATTGTATTCTAAGAGGATAGAAAGAAAAATATATTTTTTCGATGAAAGGAAACAAATAGCAAAAGATGAAAAATGTGGATAAGTAGGGAATGTTATGCATTAGATGCCCAATAACAGTACCTTTTAAGCTGCTATTATTTTTCAACAGTATCTTTTTGTTTTGCCTTGATGCAGTTTTCTTTTTGCTTTGAGAAATTTGAAAAATTAAGGCATGTACATACAAAGCAAACTCACAATTTAAAATACATCTGTGAGGGTTAATTTTATGTGTCAGCTTGACTGGGCCGTGAGATGCAGACATATTCAGTTAAACAATATCTTGGGTGTGTTTGTGATGATGTTTTTGGATGAAATTAATATTTTAATCAGTAGTCTAACAAAAATAGATTGACTTTCTCAATATATGTGTGCCTCATCTAATGGTTTAAAGATAGCACACTCTCACAGAATTTTGGAAAAAAGCTTTGATATTCTCTGCTGGTAACTACTCTCTCTTTGAGAGGCAGTTACTGGTCTTCTACTGAAGACCAATTGTCTACCAATTTACTATGTAATCTGAGTGAGTATACTGTTACCTGACTCACCAAGTCATAAAGTTGGACATACACAACAGAGTTGCATCATCAAATGGAAATTTTATATAGGTGATATGGTCTCAGTAGGCCCTGAGGCACAAGTAAGTTGAAGAAGTAGCACAAATGTCCATAATCCCCACTCCTTCTACACTGTCTTCTGTCTCAGACTACCTCTGTGGCCTCAAAGAGAATCCCCTATGATTGGTTTTACTAAAGAAAAGAAGGTTTAGGTCTGTTTTACAGAGGATTCTGCACAATATGCAGGCACCAACTGAAAGTGGACAGCTATAGCATATAGTCCCTTCCCATACATTTGTGAATAGAAGTGATGAAGGGAAATCTTGCTAGTGGCAGAATTTGAGCTATGCTTCCGGTTGTTCACTTTGCTTGGAAGGCGTAATGGCCACATGTTCAATTGTGTATCAATTCACAGGCTGTGACTCTCGGTACAGTTCCATGACTAAGACTTCATTGGTGACAAAGAAATTTGTGGAAAAGGTATACGAATCATGTTTTTGCCTATCAGTCTGAATAGGCTCCAAATGATAACCCCAACATACTGTCAGTTTAATAATCAAGTGGACAGGATAGTCTGTTTTACGAATCCCAGTCAGCCTCTTTCCCCAGCCAATGAGCTTATGAACAAACTGGCTATGATGGCTTGGATGGAGTTATGCTTGGACTCAGCAACATGGACTTCCATTCACCAAGGCCAACCTCACTCCAGCCACTGTTGACAATGCTGAAGCTCTCAACCACAGAAACCAACACTGAGCCTTGGATATGACACCATTCCCCAAATGAACAGTCAGCTACATAATGACAGGATAATTACATTGGATAGCTCCCATTTTGGAAGAGACAATATTTTGTCCTTAGTTAATACCAAATAGGCACTTATACTGGATATAGATTTGCCTTCCCTGCAGGCAATGCTTCTGCCAAAACTACCATATTTGTGCTTGCAGAATTTGCAGAATGCTTCATAATATTCGAAATGGCATTGCTTTGACAAAGGAGCTCATTTCACGGCCAAAAAAAAAATGCATAAATGGGCCCATACTCATGGCGTTTACTGACCCTACCATGTTCCTTATCACCCTGTGACAGCTGGTTTAATAGAATGATGGAATGCCCTAATAAAAATTTAGTTCCTTTGCCAACTAGTTGACAACACCTTGCAGGGTTGAGGAAAGTTTCCCTAGAAGGTTGTATATGCTTTGAATTAATGCCTAATATACGTGCTGCTTTTCCTGTAGCTGGGATTCACAGGTTTAAAAATCAAGATCTAGAAATAAGAGTGGCATCACTGTTATTATTTGTAGTGACCCACTAGAAATTTTTTGCTTGCTGTTTGCATATTCTTGTGCTTTGCTGACCTCAAGGTCTTACCTCCAAAGGGAAGAAAACTTCCACTGAGAGATACATCAATAAGTTTATTTAACTGGAAGTAAATAATGCTGCCCAGTCACTTTAGGCTCCTCATGCATCAAAATCAACAGGCAAAGAAGAGAGTTACTCTGCTGGCTGCAGATATTAGACTTGATTACTGAGGGAAAATGTGGCTGTTAATCCACAGTGGAGGTAAGGAAGAGTACATCTGTCATACAGGAGTTTCCTCAGATTATATCTTAGT